CCTCTTGGGAGTAAATTCCCCCAGCCCCATCTCTAGCTCCCCTCCCTCCACCTCCCCCCTGCAAGTCCCACCCCACACCCTTTCTTCCCCACCACTCGAAAGGTCATCCAGAGTCTCGCCATGATTCACCTTGCCGTCTGGACCTGGTAGCTTTGATGTCTGCTCCAAGCATGAGACTTGTTTTTCCACACTAAAAACTTCTAGCGTGAGGTGAGGGGGAGAGTGAACAGCCCCCTGGCAGAGGTGCCAGTGCCAGGCCTCGCCCTCACTGGCGGGGTGCAGAGGCCTGATTCGGGGACACAGAGCCCACGAATATCAGGCATTCTTTCCACAAGGGGTGACTGGAAAAGCCACGCTTCTCAGCGTCTCTCAGCAGCCAAAGGCCACAGGGGAAAATGTTTAATATAAAAACATCTGACCAAGTACCTGCAGGATATATTTCCTGCATCAAAGAAGGAACCCCTGCCAACAGCCACTGTACCCCAACAAGGGAGCTTCCAGACCTGCTCCCGATTGTGACCCATGCCCGGGCAGAGCGTGCCAGGGGGACAGAGGAGAGCAGGCCGCAGGCACAGATGGTTGTGATTACGCTGGAAGGAACCGAGTACATTTTCTGGAACTTTCGGTCCTCAGAAAACCCACTGGTAGCCAGTCTGCTCCAGGTCCTTCCCTGGAGTCCTCGGTCATCCTGAGGATCAGCCATCTACCCAACTCAGAACCAGACAGCCAGGCCGGGTGCCAGGGACTCACACCTATAATCCTAGCTATTCAGGAGGCTGAGCTCTGAGGATCAGGGTTCAAAGCCAGCTCAGGCAGGGGAGACCATGAGACTGTTTATCTCTAATCAACTACCACCAAAAAAAAAAAAAAAAAGTTGTCCTGTCACCCCTCAGTGTTATTACACCAACTCCATGGTGTGATTCATGTCACCAGTACCAGCCCGTAGCAGGGCTACCCTGAGGCCCTAAATCCAGGATGCCTGGGAACAGTAGCCCAGAAGTTTCGCTTGTATTAGTGTCCGGCACCTTCCAGTGGGCAGAGATGGTTACTCAGACCCAGGGGAACACAGCAATACCAGCAATACCTGGCTCCCAATCCCTAGGCAAGTGACTTAACCTCTCGAGTTCCAGTTACTTCTTCCTCTAATCTGTCTAATGGAAGTACCTGCAAACTGGACTCCGGCACAGCTCACATCTATGATCCCAACTACTCAGGAGACCGAAATGTGAGGTTTGAAGCCAGCCAGGCAGGAAAATCCCTGAGACTCTTATCTCCAATTAACCAGCAAAAAGCTGGAAATGGAGCTGTAGCTCAAGTGGTAGAGCACCAGCCTTGAGCGAAAAAGCTAAGAGACAGCTCCTAGGCCTTGAGTTCAAGCCTTAGTACTCACGATAAAAAAAAAAGTTCAAGCACACACTCACAATAAAAGAAAGTTTCTGCAATTCCATGAATAGGTGTTATTGTCCAAGAACGTGCCTGGCACACAGCTGTGCATTGGCTGTGATGATCAAATATTACGTGTGATTTTTCTGTCTTTATCTGTATGTACTCTCTTTGGATCTCTCTGTTCCAGACAAAAATCCATTCATTTATTCCAACAATGACCCCCTGCGGAGGAATGGCTGAATGCCAGACAAACTCCTTCAGGACCAACTATATCCCAGGATTCCCTGGTCTCAGTGGCCACAAGCCCTCTGCTCTAGCCATTCCCTCAGAGGGACAAACATTCTGGCTCCACCTTTCCTTGACCTGCCACCTCTCACCTATTTGCTTTCTAGTCACAGCTTTTCGAACACGGTGCTACAGCAGCCTCCTTTTTCTGCCTATCTAAAACCCAACTCAAAATCACCTTTCTTTTGATGCTGGAACTGAGACTTTAACTCAAGGCCTAAGCACCATCCCTTAGCTTTTTCACTCAAGGCTGGCATTTTACCACTTAAGCCACAGCTCCATTTCTGGTTTTTTGCTGGTTAATTAGAAATAAGAATCATGTGGACTTTAAACTATGATCCTTAACTCTTAGGCTTCCTGAGTAGTTAGGATTATAGGAGTGAGCTACAGGCATCTAGCTCTAATTGCCTTTTCTTATAAAGCTTTCCTTGAGACTCTCTATCAGAAACACAGGACACCATCCCAAGGTTCAGACGCTGACAAGAACAGCACAGGAAACCAGGCCCTGATGGCTCACATCTGAAATCCTAGCTACTCAGGAGGCTGAAACCTGAGGGTCAGAGTCGAAAAACAACCAGGGAAGTGAAGTCTATGAGACTCTTATCTCCAGTTAACTACCAAAAAGCCAGAAGTGAAGGAGGTGGCTCAAGTGGTAGAAATATAGACAGGAGCACCTGTACCTTGTCGTGCCTGGCTGGGGGACGGACACCAGGTCTACCTTAGTGCCCACTGTCCAGTGGTCCTGTGGCTGCCCCCTTCTTCTTTGAATTTCCCTCTGGAAACAGAGGGATGTGGCCTCACTGATGACACTCCAAGGAAGCCAGTGCACTGGGGAACTGAGACATCCTCACATACAACCAAGGCCACCGGAAGGGCCAACCCTAACTCCCTATCAGTCAGCTTAGCATGTGTTCTCATTGCACATCTGAGAGGAGCCTGCTGGGCCCAATGAACCGTTTTTTAGGGAAAGGGTACTAGTCCTGAAACTCAGGTCCTGGGCTCGATCCCTGAGCTTTTATGCTCACGGCTAGTGCTCTACCACTTTGAGCTACAGCTCCACTTCAAGTCTTTTGGTGGTTGATTGGCTATAAGACCTCATGGACTTTCCTTCCCTGGGCTGGCTTTGAGCTGCAATCCTCAGATCTCAGCCTTCTGAGTAGCTAGAATTACAGGCCTAAGCCACCAGTACCCGGTTCCCCTGGCTCCTTTTGACCACTCTGTTTGGCCCGCAGTTCAACACCGGGGTCTGGCTTAAAAGAGGGGACAGAAACCCATGCTAAGGAAGGCTGGACCACCCAGGCTCACAATCCAAGCTGCCATTCACAATCTGAGAATGACAGTGTAGCAAGTTCAATCATAAGCCTAGGTTTCCTCATCAGAAGGATCACACCAGTGTCAACAGCAGGGAGTCAGTGAGCGGGAGGGCAGCTGGCACTTATCAAGATGTCAGGCATGGGTCCGTTTCCATAAATGTCACCCGCCATCAGCACCATCATCAGTATCATTTGCCTTTGAACATCAAATGTACTGGCTAGACCCGCCTCTGCGCCCACCTCTGCCCCTCATTTTTCTGACTTCACCTTCCTAGTCAAGCTTCACTCTACCTTGGCAACATGAATCCTGTTTGCCACCCACCACCAACTGTCACGCCTCAAGGCCCATCTTCTACTCTCTGCCTTCTGGTATGACAGCCACGCAGCTCCAAGGACAGGACAAATGCCTTACCTAGAAGAGACCTGGATGGCTACAGAGGGGACCACTTCGCTGTCCTAGTAAGGCCACCTGGAACTCAGACCACAGTCCATCAAGACGTCGGGCAAAGCAGGGTACCAGGGGCTCAAACCTGAAATCCCAGCAACTTGAGGAGCTGGGATCGGAGAATCGAGATTGAGAAGCCAGCCCAGGCAGACAAACTCAAGACTCTTATCCCCAATTAACCAACAAAGTACTGGAAATGTGACTCAAGTAGTAAAGCACTAGCCGTAATTGAAAAAGGTGAGGAAAAGCACAAGGCCCTGAGTTCAAGCCTTGGTACTAGGACACGCGTCTGTGTGCACTCAGTCAGTGGTCATGCCATGACAAATCCAAAATGTTTCCCCAAAATCTTTTAGCATCCCAAGACACTGGAAATTTTTTTTTTAATTGAAAGCCACACAATCAAGAACAGTGACGTTCTCTTTACTATCCAACATCAAAGACCCTTTTCTGAGATAGGTAAACACAAATCCCAAAACAGGCCCCCTAGGCCCACAGAGCAGCCACACCTGCTCTGTGTCCAGTGGATAATCTACAGGCCTCCCGACCTCCAGGGGGCGCTTTCCTACCAACCAGATTAGGGAGGAGCATCCTACAGGTGCTCTGGCACCTACTCCTTCCAGCGGGAGGCAAACCAGGACCCTTCTAGGACAACTGAAATAGGTAAGATTGCCTACAATCTCTCCCTCACCCTCTCCCTCTTCCTCTTCCTCTCCCTTCCTCCTCTCCTTCTCCCTCCCTCTCTCCCTCCCCCCGTCACACACACACACACACACACACACACACACACACACACACACACACACACACAATTTCTACCATTAACAATAGGAAGAGAATTTCAGGAGAGCCACCTGTCCTGTCCAGACAGCCACTAATAAAACCCATCTAAATTAAACCTATTGTGAGGTTAGGCGAATCATCCATTTTAGAACATCCTTCTAAACCCTTCACTTCAAAATCCTCTGTGGCACTTCTACCTCTGAAGGTACAAAGATAGAACAAGGGATGGTGGTGTTTACAGCATCTTGTGTTCATCTGGCCAATGTTTAAGAGAAAAGATTACATCCAAATAGGGCCAATGGGCCCAGAAGGGAAGGGGGCACGCTCCAAAGCTGAGAAGGAGTGGGCACCAGGGAGCTGGACCTGCGTGGTGCCCAGCAACCACATGTCTGCCTTGGCTCCCTCCATCCTTCCCATCTCTGAAATAGCCACACTCTCCCTGGCTGCTGGCGGCTCACAGCTCTAATCAGGAGGCTGAGATCGGAGAATTGTAGTTCAAAGCCAGCCCAGGCAGGAAAGTGAGACTCTTACTCAGGCTGACCTTGAGCTTTGGGATCTTCCTGCCTCTGCCTCTCAAGTACTGGGATTACAAATGTGCCATTACAACCAGCTGTACAGATGGCGATCCACATGCTGGCAACCTTCCCAGCCAGTGGGGTGGGAGGAAAGAAGAAATGTGCAAGAAGGGAGGAGAGCAGAGAGATCGAAAAGACCTCCATCAAGTGTCCCAGTCCTGTAACACAGTCAACCCAACAGCAACATGTAAGGAGAAAGAAAAAAAAAAAGCCAACCTGAGAATTCACCCGGAGCAGTGATGAGGGAGTTGGTGACCTCCGTTTCAGTGTAAGACAATGTGGAATCGGACAGATCTGTTGGTAGAAGAGAGAGAACTTAGTTGGGGGCGTGGCTCATGCATCTGGTGGCTGTGCGCGTTTGTACGCACACAAAGAGCTGCCTGCCCCTCACCGCCTATGGGTATCACCTTGTAATCCCATCCAGGATCACCCCCACATAACTACGTTAACCACCCTAAAACTCTTCTGGAAGATAGTTGACTGTGACCATCCTGGCACCTGGAAAAGTTTCAATGGCTCACCTCAAAAATAACCTAAGCTCAAGGGACTGAGCAAGTAGCAACTTGGAGCCTTGTCGGGTAAGGTTAAATTAAGCTCCTAAACAATTCATAGTTGCTGTACTTAATTACAACCATTAAAATTCTTGAAGTTGTTCTTGCTTGCTTGCTTCCTTCCTTCCTTCCCTGCTTCCTCCTCCCACTGGAGCTGGGAAACTTTTCACAAGCACAACCATCTTCACCCTTTCTACTCTACACCCCTCTCATTAAGGGCTCAAGTAGATGAATATGACCAAATGAACCATTTTTTTTTTCTCTCCCTCTTCCCCTCCATCTCCAACATCCCAACCAGTTCTGAGAGTAGCTTTCTATGTCTGGATTGTTGTGTTTTTGTTTGCCAGTCCTAGGGCTTGAACTTAGGGCCTGGGCACTGTCCCTGAGCTTTTTTTTTTTTTTTTTTGGTCATGGGGCTTAAACTCTGGGCCTGGGTGCTGTCCCTCAGCTCTTCAGCACAAGGCAAGTGTTCTCCTACTTGAGCCACAGCACCACTTCCAGTTTTCTGGTGATTAATTGGAGATAAGGGTCTCACAGACTTTCCTGCCTGGGCTGGCTTTGAACCGCGATCCTCAGATCTCAGCCTCCTGAGTAGCTAGGATTACAAGCATGAGCCACGGGCATTTGGCTAAGATTGAGATTCTTATTTCCAAGTCACTACCACCACTTGCTGGCCTTGACCTGAAAAGGCTAAAAAACAATGCTTAGGCTCTAGTTCAATCACTAGATATCAAAACCAAAACACAAAGACAAAATGAGGCACCTCCAAACATTTATATCACCAACACTCCACAAAGGCTTTTTCACTGTCTGGTCATCATCACATTTCCACTAGGAAGTTACTATTTTAGATTAAATGCTCCATATCCAATCAGATTGCATCCTGGATTGAGTAGACAATCTTCTCTGGACACTGGGGTTCTGACCACAGTCTCCCTCTCCCCCACAAAACCAGTGCACTAAGCCAGGCGCTGGTGGCTCAGTAATCCTAGCTACTCAGGAGGTTGAGATCTGAGGATTATGGTTCAAAGCCAGTCCAGGCAGGAAAGACCCTGAAACTCTTATCTCCAATGAACCACCAGAAAAACTGGAAGTGGTGCTGTGGCTCAAGTGGTAGAGTGTTAACCTTTAGCTGAAATGCTGAGGGACAGCGTCCAGGCCCAGAGTTCAAGCCCCTAACCCGCAAAAAAAAAAAAAGTGCAGTGGGGATGCAGGAGAAATAGCCTCATTCCCTTTTTTGTGGTCCCCTTTCGCTCTCTTCTTTCTCTCTCTATGTCGGTCATGAGGCTTGAACTCTGGGCTTGGGCGCCATCCCTGCGCTCTTCAGTTCAAGGCAAGCATTCTACCACTTGAGCTCCTGCACCACTTCCGGTTTTCTAGTGGTTTATTGGAGATAAGAGTCTCATGGACTTGCCTGCCTGGGCTGACTTTGAATCGTGATCCTCAGATCTCAGCCTCCTGAGCAGCTAGGATTACAGGTATGAGCCACCAGCACCTGGCTCTCTCTCTCTCTTTTGGCCAATCCTGGGGACTGAACTGAGGGCCTGGGCACTGTCCCTGAGCTTCTTTTACTTAAGGCTAGTGCTCTACCACGTGAGCCACAGCATTGAATCCAGGACTTCATGCATACTAGGCAAGCACTCTACTACTAAGTCACATTTCCAGCTCTGGACTGGTTTTTAAAAACAGGTCTAAGAAGCCAGACCCGTAATCCTATCTACTCAGGAGGCTGAGATCCAGGGATCAAGGTTCAAAGCCACTCTCATCAGGAAAGTCGTGGAGGTATAGCTCAAATAATAAAGCACCAGCCTTGAGTGAAAAAGCCAAGCCAGAGTGCAAGGCCTTGAGTTCAAATCCTAGTACTGGCACACACACACATACACACAAGTGAGAGTATTTTACGTGATGAATAGATTTGTTCTGCCCTGTGTGTAGCACAGGGAGGTGGGAAGGTAAATTCTTTCTTTTCCTTTATTTTTTGTGACAGTATTGAGACTTGAAGTCAGGGCCTGGGCATTGTCTCTTAGCTTTTTCACCCAATGCTGACACTTAACCACTTGAGCCACAGTTCTACTTCCAGCTTTGGGGTGATTAGCAAAAAGAATCTAATGGATTTTCATGCCTGGACTGGCTTTGAATCATGATCCTCACTCAGATCTCAAGCCTTCTGACTAGCTACAATTGGAATCAAAATACTTTGGGCATAGGGCTGGGAAGGTGGCTCGGTGGTAGAGTGCTTGCCTTGCACGCATGAGGCCCTGGGTTCGATTCCTGAGCACCACATAAGCAGAAAAAGCCGGAAGTGGCGCTGTGGTAGAGTGCTCACCTTGAGCTGAAGAGCTGAGGGACAGTGCCCAGGCCCAGAGTTTAGGCCCCACGACCGGCAAAAACAAAACAAAAAATACTTTGGCATTTTTTTTTTTTCTTCTACTCTGAGCTGCTGCCTTGACAACCTGTTTTCTGCCTTCTGGAACTTTTTCCTGGTCTGTGCCTCTGTTTGGAGGGGAAATGTGCTGTCTCCTGGTGGACAGGCTTGTCCAGGAGGTGGGAGACATATATGCCCAGAGGCTCAGGGCCTTTCCTCTCCTCCTCAGCCAGAACCCACATCTGGCAATAGCTGACCCCACCTGGCCCAATACAGACATACTGGGATGCACAGAGAACCGTTAGCCTAGGCCCCTCCAGCTAAGGAGAATTCCACTCCATCTTGCAGGATTTTTTTTTTTCCTTTTACCACATGGCTTGGGGAGCAGGAAGATGAAATTGTAACCAATTTGGTCTGTTTTTTTGTTGTTGTTTTTTCTTCTCCCTCTCCCTCTCTCTCTCTCTCTGGTTTTCTACTTGCCAGATGCTGACTGGATATTCTGTGTTTTATTTTGGATTTTCTTTTTTCTTTTTTTTAATCTCATGTGATCACAGAGGCTTAGAAGTGAAGGGGACTTTTGTTTATGAAAAAGTAACAATACAAGTAAAAGAAAATAACAAAAAAAAGAAGAAAAAAAAAAAAAAGAAAACCACTTGGGACTATGTATCACAGCACACACACAAAAAAATTAACTGCTGGGGGAAAACTAAGGGGAAATAAAGGCTCATGGAAAAAATCTTGAAAAATAAACAAAATAACCCTTGGTCTTTTTTTTTTTGGGGGGGGGTGGTAGAGGGGATCATTACTGGTGCTGTTCTCCATTAGCTTTTTTGCTCAAGGCTGGTGCTCAACCACTTGAGCCATTTATGGCTTTTTGGTGGTTAATCAGGGTCTCACAGACTTTGCTGCTCAGAAAAAGTCTTCAGATCTTCAGATCTCAGCCTCCTGAGTAGCCAGGATTACAGGTGTGAGCCCCGGGCTAGGTTTAGCATTTGATACCCTGATGCTCCCCGTGCTCAGGGCATCTGGTTTTTCAGCCATTCTCACATGAAGGAGAAATGCAGAGTCAGCACTGAGTGCTGTTTCTCAGCCAATGTCCACAGATAGTGCTACAAAGCATCCAGAGGGAGGCAGAAAGGCATGATGTTCCCCCTTGCTCTTCTTCATAGCTGCTCACATAGCTGTTACAACCTGGCCAAACCATCCAGGCTAATCCAAAAAGGACCTTACTTAAGGCAGTCCCAACTTCCCAGGCTGCCCAAGTGCATGCAAATAGGGTTCTGGATATAAGGTGGATCCCCAGGTTCAAGTTTCAACACCAAGAAGTCAGTAGTGTTAGGGACCACCACATTGTATTTTTTCAGAACTAGAACTTGGTACCTGACAATTTTGCTCATCAGCTTGCCCTCTTCCAACAAGAGCCACACCTCCAACTCCAAGTACTTTTTAAAAGTTTGTCCATTAGAGAAAGGGTTTAAGTTACTTTTGTATTCTATTCCATTCAAGTCTCTAGTATTTTTGTTTTGTTTTGGTTTTTTTGGGGTCAGGTTGTGGGGCTTGAACTCTGGGCCTGGGCGCCGTCTCTCAGCTCTTCAGCTCAAGGCTAGCACTCTACCACTTAAGCCACAGCGCCACTTCCGGCTTTTTTTCTTTTTGTTTATGTGATGCTGGGGAATCGAACCCAGGGCCTCATGCATGCAAGGCAAGCACTCTACCACTGAGCCACCTTCCCAGCCCGTCTCTAGTATTTCTTGTAAGTTAAAGATACATCATTTTTCTTATCAAGGACCAGAGAATAAATAAGTTATCTTTAGCCTTGTGAGTCCTACCACTGTCGCAACTACTCAACTTTGAGCTGCTTCATCCTGAGAGCCAGGGCAATGGGGAAGTGTATAGACACGTGGCTGGAACTTGACTTCTGACACTAAAACCTGAATTCCATGGAGTTTTTCCAAGCCATTTTAAAAGCATAAGCGACCTGGCACCGATGGCTCACACCTGTAATCCTAGCTACCCAGGAGCCTGAGATCTGAGGATCATGGTTCAAAGCCAACTCAGGCAGGAAAGTCCATACTCTTTTATCTCCAATTAGTCACTAAAAAGGCTTGCTGTGAGTGTGGCTCAAGTGGTAGAGCGCAAGCCTTGAACAAAGAGTTCAGGAACAGTGCAGTGCGTAGACCTTGAGTTCAAGCCCCAAGCCCAGTACCCCTTTTCCCACCCCTCCCTTCCCCCCTCCCCCCGCCCCAAATAGCCAGGCTGGACACCAGTGGCTCACACCTGTGATCCTAGCTACTCAGGAGACTAAGAGCTGAGAATCATGGTTCAAGAGCCAGCCTGGATTGGAAAGTCTGTGAGAGTCTTATCTCCAAACTAACCAGCAAAAAGCCAGAAGTGGAGCTATGGCTCATAGAGCACCAGCCAGCCTTGACTGAGAAAGCTAAGCGAGAGGTTGAGGTCCTAAGTTCAAACCCCAGTATAGGCTTGGGAAAAAAAAAAAGCAGAAGTTCCTCAGCCATCCCATCTGTAGAGTAACAGAGACACCTATCAGTTTCCAAAGGGTCCTTTCGTAGGGCCAAATGAGTCTCCCAGGTTAATGACCTCACTGGCTAGACAGTCTAGGCTAGGATTTTTCCTCTAACGGAACTAAGGGTCTGGTACCTAGCTCCTGGGTTTGGGCCTCAGCCCTGCAGCTCCCTAACTGGGTGCTTCCACCCCCTTACTCAGCTGCTTCCAATCTATCTTGCCAGGTGACCGAGTGCTCCAGGTAATTGCTGAACTGAATATAGCTCTCCATCCAAAAGACATCACTGATTCACAGCCTCCACCATCCCTGTGGGGGTCATGATGGACACTTCTGATCTCATGGAGCCTGGGGTGAGGGCCTGGGATTCCTGAGAGTTCAAAGAGATGGTGTGTACCCTCTTGAGAGAGTTCCCCCTACTAGCCCCCCCTTTTTTTTGGTCAGTCATGGGATTTGAGGCTTGAACTCAGGGCCTGGGTGCTATCCCTAAGCACTCTTGCTCAAGGCTAGTACTCTACCATTTTGAGCCTGTGGCATCACTTCCGGTCTTCTGGTGGTTAATTGGAAAAGACTTTCACAGACTTTCCTGCTGGACTGGCTTTGAACTGCGATCCTCAGATCTCAGCCTCCTGAGTAACTAGCTAGGATTACAAGTGTGAGCCACCAGCACCCAGCTTGGGAAAATCCCTTTACCAACACCAATAGCCAGGCCCCTGATCTTCTCAGGCATGGAGTCAATGCCACATCATCTGACTTTAGAAGCCGGCATCCCCCAAAGAAACTGCCCAGGTCACAAGGTCATTCTCCAGGGGCTGGTACTCAGGTCCTCTACATTCTCACTTGGCTTTTTCACCCAAGGCACATTTGAGCCACACCTCTCCTTTCAGCCTTTTGGTGGTTCACTGAACCTAAGTGTCTCAGGGACTTTTTCAACCAAGCTGCTTTTATACTACAATCCTCAGATCTCAGTCTCCTGAGTAGCTAGTTATAGGGCTAAGCAATGGTGCCTGGCTCTCCTGGGGGCCTTTAAGGCCACCTTGACCCTCCATCACTGGCCGGACACTGATTCCCATTGAAATCACAGCCCCAAAGACAAGAGCACAAGTAGCTCCACCTGGAAACTCCATGCATTCCTGAGCTTCAAGCTTCCACAGGACACAAGGCCTGCCTCAGAATAGGACTTGTTTGAGAACTTGTTTGAAAAGACATTGCCAGACCACTAAGCTCCCCTAGGGGACAGGACAGGCCCAAGCCGGGCCCTTATGTAGCAAGACACATTCTCCCTACCTGCTCCCATTGTCATACTTCTGCCCAGGTAAACATCTTGACTTAAAGGGGGGTTAGGGTGAGGGACGCAGAGATGATGGGGACACAACACACACCAAAAATTTTGGTGCCCAATAGGTGTGTTACACTCACTTAAAACACACTGGCCAGTGCCAGTGGCTTCTGCCTGTAATCCTAGCTCCGCAGGAGGCTGAGAGCTAAGGATTCTCGTTCCAAGTCAGCCTAGGCAGAAATTCGGATTTTAATCCAAATTAACCGGCAGAATTGAGAAGTAGAGGTATGGCTCAAGTAGTAGAGTGCCAGCCTCGAGCAGAAAAAGACAAGGGATAGTGAAAGACCCGAGTTCAAGCTCCCAATACCAATATTCTCTTTCTCTCCATCTCTCCCTTCTCCTCCCTCCCCTTTCCCCTCCTTCCTTCTCTCTGAGTGTCAGGCTGGGGAGGGAAAGGGGCAAAGAGAAATCCCAAGAATTCCAGCCCACCTCTAAGCCATTCATCTCTTACAGGCCCTTGGTTAAAGGTCACATGGAGGTTAACAATGAGGCAGGAATTTCAAGATGTAAATATAGGCTCTGCTTTAGCCCAATCCTGGGAATGTTTGTTAAAAAAAAAAAAAAACACGTTGCCCCCATTTCAAAGCATCAAGGCTTTCAAGCCTTGATGTGCACTTACCCAGTGGCTTGTACTCGTCCCGAGGAGACAGCCGAGAATATGGGGGTGGCGGTGATTCTAGAAGACAGAAGATAAACTGTCATTGTTGGGCGAAGCGGACTGCACACCTGGGGTTCGTTGTGCTTTTATAACTGTTTTCCTGAAATCATGATCTGAGGTCTCGGGAAGCTCCCTAACCTCTCCCATCACCCTAACTGCCCAAACCTAATGGAACAGTAACACAGAACCTGAGGTGCTCAACCCCAACAGTGTCTCCTCTGGTGTGAGCTCAGGCAAGGCACCCCTCCTCTCCAGTCCTTTTCCTCGGCTCTAAACGGGAGATGATAATCACAGACCTCCTGGCTTTACCAAGAGGAAAAAGAAGATAATGTATGTAAAATGCTTAGCACAGCTCAGGCACAGAGGAAAAACATCTTTACAAAGAGAACCTATTATTATCATAACAAGAGAGCCTGGGGGTGGGTGGGAGCGGGGAGTCAGGCCTTAAGACCGAACCACTACAGCAGAAGCCTTTCAATTTGAATGCGGGGTAAACATGCTTTTGTAATGTAAGTATAGCCCTGCACAGTAGATGGGAAATACTTATACTGGATTATGCTGCCCTGGTGAAATTAAGTTAAACCCGGCCTTTCTGCATTTTATTTGCTAAATTTGGCAGGCCTGATCAGAGCTGAGGGTGAACACAGTGGTCTAGACAGGAAAATTTTTTTTGGGAGGGTCCGGTTGTGGGGCCTGAACTCTGGGCCTGGGTACTATCCCTCAGCTCTTCAGCTCAAGGCTAGCGCTCTACCACCTGAGCCACAGTGCCACTTCCGGCTTTTTTTCTTTTTGCTTATGTGGTGCTGAGGAATCGAACCCAGGGTCTCAGGCATGCAAGGCAAGCACTCTACCACTGAGCCACCTTCCCAGCCCCGAGACAGGAAATTTTTTTTTTTACCAAACTAACATTCCTGGGAATAAGAATTAGGTCCTTGAAATCCAAACCCAACTCAGGTATCTTGCTTGAACTCAGTCCTGGGTACTACTGTCTCTTAAGCTCTACTGCTTGAGCTACACCTCCACTTATAGGGCGTCTCAGTTTTCTAGTGGTTAGTTGGAAACAAGAGTCCCATGAACTTCCCCGCCCAGGCTGGCTTCGAACCACCATCCTCAAATCTGAGCCTTCTTAGTAGCTAGGATTACAGGCATGACTCACTGGCACCTGGCTCAGGTATCTTGATAGGGGGCCCTAAATTAACCACATCTACCTTCCTACTTTTCTACTGGAAATAAAAGCAGGGGTGGAGCACTGTCCCACACCCAGCATTTGAGATTCCTTATTGTCTATCTATGGTGTTTTTCCTATGAGTTTCTTTCATTTGCCTAAAATACTCCTCCTTAAAAACATATACTTTGCCTTCAGAAGAATGTCTTAGGTTCTTGCTTTATGGGAAGCAACAATTTGCTAAACTAAGTAACAATTTGCATGAATGAAATGACCCTTCATTTTCTATAAATGAAACTAAACACCATCAAGTTGCAAGTTAAAGCAAACTCCATCTGTGGTAATAAAGTGGTAATAACTATTATTAGGCGGGTATCAGGAATGACACAGGGGTAATGAGTATTTTTGCAATTATAATAAGGCACAATTAGTTGTAAGAGCATTTGTTGTCTTCCATAGGAGGCTTCTCTCCCAGCCTGGCCTTTCCAATCTGAAGTGACTACTAAGCCTGGCGCCAGTGACTCCTGCCTATAATCCTAGTTACTTGGAAAGCTGAGATCCAGAAGATTGGCCAAAAACAAAAAACCAACAACAACACTCCATGAGATTTCAATTAGCCAAAAACAAAAGCCAAGCATTTTCAATTTTATGTGGTTAATCATGTTCATCAGGCACCTCTCTGTGTTTAATACTTTCTTGTCAGGCACAGGTGGCTCACGCCTGTACTCCTAGCTACTAAGAAGGCTAAAATCTGAGGATCATGGTTCAAAGCCAGGCCAGACAGGAAAGTCTGTGAGACTCTCATCTCCCAGAAAACTGGAAGTGGCGCTGTGGCTCAAGTGGTAGAGCACTTTGCCTTGAGCTGAAGAACTCAGGGACAGGGTCCAGGCCCAGAGTTCAAGCCCCACAACTGCCCCTAAAAAAAAAAAAAAAAACTTTCTCAAAAATAAAAGTAAGATGACATTATGACCCCATTTTACAGATGAGGAAACTGACTTGCTCTGCCCTGTCAATCTGGTAGAGCTAGAGTTTGCATCCAAACCTGACTCGAGACTGGGGGAATCCTTATGTCAGAGCACAATGACTACTCAGCTACTCAGCAAGGCCTCCGTGCCTTCCTGTCAGTGGATAATAACAATGGTGACAGGATAAAAGTATGAGACAGGACCTCATTGACAAGACACACAGGGGTTTTAAATCACAAAGTTCAAGGGCAGTAATCCTAGTACTCAGGAGGCTGAGAGCTGAAGATGACAGTTCAAAGCCTGCCCAGGCAGGAAAAGTCCATGAGACTCTTTTTTTTTTTTTTTTTTGGTGGGGGGGTCCGGCCGTGGGGCCTGAACTCTGGGCTTGGGTACTGTCCCTCAGCTCAAGGCTAGCGCTCTACCACTTGAGCCACAGCACCACTTCCGGCTTTTTTTTCTGCTTATGTGGTGCTGAAGAATCGAACCCAGGGTCTCATGCATGCAAGGCAAGCACTCTACCACTGAGCCACCTTCCCAGCCCGAGTCCATGAGACTCTTTATCTTCAAGCAGCCACCAAATAAACAGAAGTAGAGCTGTGGCTCAAGTGGTAGAGAACCAATCTTGAGCAAGAAAAAAAGCTAAGGAACAGTGCCCAAACCATGATGTCAAGCCTTAATACCAGCATGAAGAAAAAAAGAAAATCAAGGAAGGAAGGGGAATATCTGCCTTCCATTGAAGTCACTTTTTTTTTTTTTGGTCAGTCTTGGGGCTTGAACTCTGGGCATGGGTGCCGGTGCTATCCCTGTGCTCCTTAGCTCAAGGCTAGTGCTTTACCACTTGAGCTACAACGCCACTTCTGGTGTTATGGTGGTTAATTGGAAATAAGAGTCTCACGGACTTTCCTGCCCTGGCTGTCTCTGAACTGTAATTGTCAGATCTCAGCCTCCTGAGTAACCAGGATTACAGGTGTAAGCCACTGGCACCCAGCTAGAAGTCACTTCTGATGCTGGCCCTGGACTTAGGGATGAGAAGAAACTGAGCCCCCACTATAGAAGAGACTACAGTCTGGCGAGTGGAATTGACATGGTCAGGAACTGGCTGGAGAGCCTGAATCAGAGCCAAGTCTCTTACTTCCAACCCTCATGCCCTGGTCATAACCCCACAAATGTACCAGAAAGCCTGCAAGAATCTTAAGATTAGGGAAACTTTTGCAATATATATAGACATATATATACCATAAATACATATATATGTCTGTATATAGACATATATATACCATAAATACATATATATGTACACACGTATGTATATACACACACATACACACACACATATATGATATATACGATTGTCTGAGGCTCAGCAACATAGCATGGTGCTCTGGCCATCTGCCATCCACATTTATTCCCGAAGATAAAACTCAGCTGCAATGAAAGTGGGAGCAGAAGTCAAGCCACTGTCCCCAGTATCTCTACAAAGACTTTACTAGCAACCCAAAAGCTAGCCAGGCCAACTGGTGACTCATGCCTGGAATCCCAGCTACTCAGGGGGCTGAGATCTGAGGATAGCAGTTCAAAGCCAGCTGGGCTGGAAAAGTCAGAAACTCTTATCTTCATAGAAATGGAGATGTTGCTTAAGTGGCACAACACCAGCCTTGAGCAAAAAAAGCCAACCAAGAACATTAGGCCCTGAGTTCAACCTCCAGTACCAGCTCAAAATAAATAAATAAATAAATATATATATAGGGGGCTGGGAATGTGGCTTAGTGGTAGAGTGCTTACCTAGCATGCATGAAGCCCTGGGTTCAATTCCTCAGTACCATATCAACAGAAAAAGCCAGAAGTGGCGCTGTGGCTCAAGTGGTAGAGCACTAGCCTTGAGCAAAAGAAGCTCAGGGACAGTGCGCCCAGGCCCTGAGTTTAAGCCCCAGGACTGGCAAAAACAAAAAACAAAAAACACTGGAGGGTGGGAAGGAGTTAACCTAGGCCTTGAGTTGTAACAGTCACTCAAGCCACATCTGAGTTGGCATTTCCTAATGTCATCAATGAGCCATAAAGAAAATCCATAAACCCGAATTGTAGACATACCAGCTAATGAAGGACACCAGAGGTTTGGGGAGGAAACTTTACCTAATCACAAAACCACTCCAGGCAAATGGAAGGTACAAAGGCCTTCACCCCATTACACAGGATATAGAATGTAAGGGGTCATGGGGCTCATCAAACTCCAGCAAGGTAAAGTACCCACCCAACGCCACAGAAGAGGACAGTAGCAGATGTAATATTCTACTTTGACTCAACAAAGGAGAAAGCAAATTAGGAATCAATACCTGATCATCCTTTTGTAAAATATTGAGATATAATTCAGACAAGATTCACCCTTTCACTTCCTATACCCCAATTGCCAAACCCTAAAACTTCATTTGGCATGATGCCCTCAAGATTCATCTATGTGATAGCATGTGTGGGTACTTTACTTTTTTTGTGGGGGGTTAGTACTGGTCAGGGCGGGGGCCTAGGCACTGGCCTTAAGCTTTGTGCTCAAGGTTAGTGCTCTACCACTTTGAACCACAGTGCCATTTCCAGTTTTGTTTTTTTTTTGTAGTTTATTGGAGATAATAGTCTCAAGGACTTTCCTGCCATGGCTGGCTTTGAACAGTGATTCTCAGATCTCACCATCTTGAGTAGCTAGGATTACAGGCATGAGCCACCAACACCCAACTACTTTACTCTTCTTTATGCCTGAATATTCCATTCTACAGATAGATATATCACATCTTGTCTGCCCATTCATCAGCTAATGAACATTGGCAACTATAACATGTACCATGAAATGATTTTGCTTCGAAAAATCCTGGATACTTTTTTGTATTCCAATACTGGGGCTTGAACTCAAGGCCTAGGTGCTGTCCCTGAGCTTTTTTGCTCAAGACTAGCACTCTACCACTTGAGCCACCCCTCTACTTCCAGCTTTTTGGTGGTTAAATGAAGAATCTCAGACCTTCCAGCTTGAGCTGGCTTTAAACGGTAATCCTCAGATCTCAAGCCTCTTGAAGAGCTAGAATAACATACAGGAGCCACAGGTACTAACTCAACTGCCCCTAGACCAAGCTTCTCTAGATTTGAGATGAGTCCCCAATATATGAACTCAGGTAAGGCTTAGGTAGGAGAGTGAGACAAAGCAGCAGAAGAGAACCTTTGGGGGGAGGTGGGAGGAGAGATGAGAGTCAGACAGAGATCAGAGATCTGAAACTCCAGCCTTAGGTATGGACTCCAGGAGTTCCCTCCAACTTCCTTCAGAAGTAAGAGCACCAACTGGATCGCCAGGAGCCAGGAACCCGGAGCACAGTGTGGCTAGTCTCCAGCCCGGCCCAGCTGCCCCCAGGTCAGCCCTCAAGGGGTACTTAGCCTTCTGGGATCTAGACCCTCATTCTAAGCCAGAAGACAGTTCACAGCCCCTCCCAGTACTGGGCACAGTTTCAATTCAGGACACTACCTTCCACACCTCGGATCTTGAACACCCTGGCATCTTGCTCAGGAAAGGATTCACATCTTCCTAGAGCTTTTACAGCCCCTGCCCCCTCCCGAGGGGTGGCTGAGTATTGGGGCGGGGCCTCCCAAGCTCCTCTCCCCTACCCTCTTCTTCCCCCCCCTCACCCCCCAGCTAAAGGTTCCACTGTAAACTCCAGGATGGGAGAGCAGAAAAGGAGCTCCTGGCACTTTAAGGCCGGCGGAGCCTAATTGCCCAGATTCCCCCGGCAGCCAGATAAACAGCGCGGCCGGCTGGCGCCAGCAAGAGGCACCCTGCACATCATCACCCCTTCCTCACCTCCAGGACCGGCAGACAGGCCCAGGGGCCCCGCAGTAGGGCGGGGTGGGGGCTCACAGGCCCAACTTGAAATCGATCTCATTTCAAAGGATAATGCCAGGCCAAGGAAAAGGGGGTGGGGGGGGGGCCAGAACGTTTTAGCTCATTCTAATTCCCCCCTGGCTTGAGAACCCAATGTTTTTCTTAAGCGGCCTCCTCCCGTCGTTCAGAAGTTTCCTCTCTCACTCTGTCTCTCTTTTCCCAGGCACAAGTTGGATAATAGTAATTTACTGAATATAATTACAGAAAAAAAAAAAAAAGAAGAAGTGGTGAAGTAAAGAGCAGGAGATTTCTTCCAAAGTTAATGGATACTTTCTGGAGAAAGGAGCCCTATAAACACAGGTCAGAACTGTGATTAAAGTATTTCTCCACATTTCCGTCCACATAGGCACCCACCCGCTCAGTAAAAAGGCACAGAAGTCACATGCAGAGCAATTCCAGAGGCCCCCAGAGGGTGCCCAGGACAGAGGCTGGCAGGCAGGCAAAGACCTCTGGAGAGGGCAAACAGGGCAGGGAGAACTAGAAATCGCCCTTCCGTCCAACACCAGAATTTCTCCCCCTTCCCTTTTTTTGGTATCAATAATTAAGGCTTAGTTGGTTCATTCTCTCGCTCTCTCAAGGCTAGTACTCTCCCACTTGAGACTCACCTCTATTTCTGGCTTTTTTTGCTGGCTAATTGAAAATAAGAGTATCACAGATCTGTCTGGCTAGGCGGGCTTCGAACCGGAGACTCTCAGATCTCACAACCTCCCTGAATAAGTAGGATTAAAGCCTTGAGCCAGCAGCACCCAGCTTAAACCCTAGAACTGTGAAGATGGAAAAGCCCACCTAGCTAGACCAAGGTCGCAAAGCAAATTGGTGGTTGAAGATCTGGCACAGACACACCAGGGTGACACACGCTTCCCCAGGATTGTTACTGGGTCACAGGGAATTACCTGTAGGCTGGGGGTGGGGCATGGGTGATTGGTGCGGGGCGTTCCGGTGGACTTTAACTCTAGTTGTATGTCTGCTTGGTATGTCTGTCTGTCTCCATATCCCAGGTCCCAGCCCTCACCCCTGAGAGCTGGAAGGAGCAGGGCCCCATTGCTGCCAGCCCAGCAATGGGAACCAGGCTGGAGGGGGGGGGGGGGGGCCGGGCAGCAGCAGAGGGCTTTCCCGTCCTCAGTCCCAGCAAAGATCAGAGAGGGTCACCAGGACAAACTGGAAATTCTTCCTCCCTTCTTCCCAAGCTGCCCTCCCACACAATAGCGCCTCCTTCTGGAGGGAGGAAGAAAGTCCAGTCCCAGTGCCAGTCCACAGCAGATTGAAGGAATGTGACTAAAGCCATCCCCATTGAAAGCAAGAGGGAAAGAAAGAAAGAGGAGAGGTTAAGCTACTGGCAATCAAGACCTGGTTCTATGGTTACTGCAATTTGCCGGTTCTCCCTCAACCTGTTCCTGCCCCAAGTTCACCAAACCCAAACCAACAGTTGGGCTCCCAGGTCATGCAGGAATAAGAAGAGGAGGGAGTCCTGTCTGGGGCCTCCAACCTGGATATTTGGGCTCTAGGCTAACCAAGAGACCCTCTTCCACCATCTGGCAAGGCAGCTCCCCTAGGTTAAGAGGTGTGGAGCTCAGAGAGGCCATCCAGTTAAATACAAACTCAAAACACCCAGTGGTTCAAAGCACTGCCTGCCCCGCCTCTTTCCCTTCTTCCCTTCTCTCCCTGTCCCCACCTCCCCCCCTCCTAAGGATTCTGTTTCTCTAGGGCATAGATTCTCTCACATTTCCCTCTGCTCGGTGGCACAGTGCCTGGAACAGACCAAGTGCTCAACAAACATTTGCTGGTACATTGACATGAGGAGAGAAAATATCTGCCTGTGGCCCATGTCTGTCCATCTTCTACTACACAAAGACAACCACAAATAGGAGTTCTTTCTCCAGAGACAAGAGATGAGGGTGAGGGAAGCAGAGGGAAGAAAGCCTCTTCTGGGGGAGGCCCAGGAACAAGTTGCCAGGCAAAGGAAGTCCAGTATGGGCCACAACTCAGGACCTGACCCAAGCCCCTAAAATGACCCTGGAGTAACCACACAAAGTGGGCAGTTTACCCCAGTACCATATCTTCAGGAACCACCACAAAAGGGAAACTTCTCCAACTACCACCAAAGGGAAACATTTTCCCTTCTGTCCACTAACACAAGCCCTCACAAGATACAGGAGATAATTCCAGGCTTTTAGAATCACCTTCTCTTTTCACCCATCATCTGCCCCTCGGTGCATTGACTCTCCAGGATAGACAGGCCTAAGGAACTTGGGAAACCACCCCCCTACCCCCCCCCCCCACTCCCCAGACCAAAAGCCTGTAACTGCACTTCTGTCCCTACAAAGTCCCCAGTGCTACCTAATGGATTTACATGCACCCCTAAGTAAGCAGTTCCTGCCAGAGGGGGGTAAGGCAGGGATCAGAACTCTTCTACTGCACAGACCCAGCTTATCCTCACCTCAGCCTGGCTTACCTGGGTTGCTACAGTGCACAAGCTGCCTAGGTAAGCCAGGCTGAGGTGGGTGAATGGATGCAGGAGATCCCTGGAAGAGAACAAAGAGGGACCCATTCTCAGAGGTGACAAACTACCTGGCTTCCTCTCCCTGGCTCAGATGCCCCAGGGCTCTAAGTGGCCAAGCTGAACATAAAAACTTCAAACGGTGCATAGTGGAGGGATGTTGGAAACGAGGAAGGGATTTTTCTGCAAACACTGCGCTCCAAAGTACAAAAAGGAGCAAAGTGAACACTTTACCAACACTGCACCCACAATCAGTCTTCACAGTTTTCACAAGGACAGTTACCTGGGCACAGAAAAGAATGAGCATGTGCGTGCAAAGGCTGGAAACCTGGGCAGACTGGGAGTGGGGAGGGAGAGGAGAGAGGGGGGATCAACTGCCAAACCTTAGGAGGGAATGCCACTCGCTTATTTGGCCTTCCCTTTGCCTACCCTCCCTTTTTCAGCCCGAAACTGAAGCCTCCATCACACCTCTTAAAAAACAACAACAACGTGCTCCCTCCTTCTGGGCGTTGTTAGAACCTTAAAATGAAGTTAGTTGCCTTTTGCAGCGTGCGCTCAGTTTCCCGCGCCCCCCCCCCGCAGGATCGCGGCGCCTCTCTTGGGGAGGAGGGGGGTCCCCCTCCTTTGAGGGGTCCCCCCTCCTCCCTCACCCTCCAGGAAGGAGGCCACGGCGGGGCGCGAGGAAAGAGACGCAGAGGTGGCCCGGCGTTGCGCTCACCTGGCCCGCAGAGCCGGCTGAAGTGGTAGGGGTTGCAGCACACGACGGGGCCGTCGGCGGCGGCGGCGAAGCTGTGGCAGCCGCACAGGGGCTTCAGCTCCACGGCGTGTTGCAGATCGGGCCAGCGGAAAAGGCGACCGAGCAGCAGCTGCGGCGGCGCGGGCTGGCCGCCCAGGCGGAGATCGGCGCGCGGCACCAGCACGCAGCCGCCCGGCACGCCGCCGCGGGACTCCACCGCCTCCAGCAGCGTGTCCAGCGAGCGCTCCTTGAGCCGCTTCAGCAGCGAGTACGTGACGGTCTTCAGCTCCTGCTCCAGCAGCAGCAGCCGCGAGCGGGCTTCGCGGCTCCGCCCGCTGCTCTCCGGCTCCGGGGCGGCCCCGGCCAGGGGGGCGCCCGCGTCCCGGGGCGCACCGGCGGCGTCGCGCTCCGAGAAGAGACAACAGGTCACCGTCTCGCAGTCACTCTCGGGCAGCCAGCCTGGGCTTCCCGGCTCGGCCACGTCTAGGGGGGAGCCCTCGGCGCCGGCCTCCGGCTCCGGCATGGGCCTCGGGGGGCCCCCCGCGCGACGGCGCCTAACCGCGATCGGGGCGCCCCGCGCTGCCACCGCGTCCCGGGGCCGGCGTGGGGTTACCGAGCGGACTTCGGGGTGGCGGCAGCCTCCGCCTTCCTCTCGTGCCCACGGGGCCGGCTCAGCTCGGCTGCTGCCCAAGCTCCCATCCTCGTCGTCGTCGCCGCCACCGCTGCCGCCGCTTTCCTCCCGATCGGGGACCACACGACTTCGCCAAAGTCGCCGCACCAGCCCCGAGCGTTTGGACCTGAACATACGATATCCTTTGGCGCCGGGGACGGGGGGTGGGGTGGGGGAGGCAGTGTCCGGTTACCGGGGGTCCGTTCCCTCAGCGAGGCGCCGGCTGCGCGGGCCGCAGCCCCACATGAAGCTCCGCCGCGGGGCGCCGTGCACACCGAGCACAGCCTGTCGTCGAGGGGGCACCGCAGGGCTGCAACATGAGTGAGCTCGCCGGGGCGGGACACGCGCGCGCGCCGAGCCGCAGTCCGCGAGGGGGCCCGCGGCTACATGGACCGCGGTGGCCCGGGGTGGCTCAGCTCCAGCCCCGGCGCCTTAGGGGGGCTGCAGGCGGCGCGCGGCTGGAGAGACCCCGCATGGGCCGGCGAGCCTTTAAAAGTTGCGCGGCGGGTCCATGAGCACAAAGGTCTGGCGGGACCTCCCTTTAAAGCCCAAGCGCTTGATTACATGGGCTTTCCCTGCAGGATCTGAAAAAAAAAAAAAAAAAAAAGCAGGCTGGTTGGATACCCTGGGGTCCCTGCAAAAAGAAGAAAAGAAGGGAAGGGAGTTGGGGTGGGGGGAGGAAGAAAAAAAAATCCCCCACAAAACCCAAATCCTTGGGTTTTTGCATGCACGAAAATTCGGCTAACTCCGTCTCAGGTCTCCCAGGCGCCAGACATACACTTTGGAGAGTGAAGCTTCTCCTGGAGTGTCAACACCACACCAAGGAGTCGAAGCTGGGGGGAAAAAATAAAAAAATCGCGAAGAGCTGCTGGGAATCCTGAATTTAAAAATGCAATCTAGCGAGGCAGAGGTCGCAGCCCGCCCCCACGCCGCGCTCGGACGCGCGGGGCGCCGCGGCGGCGGAGGTCGCCCCCTCCCCCCCGGCCACAAAAGTGGCTGCCGGTGGCCCGCGGTCCCCGCGAGCTTGGGCGAGGCAGCGCCCGGCGGCTCTTTCTCTCGGCTGGGCTCTCCCTCGCTCGCTCCCCCGCTCGGCTCGCTCGCTCTCTTTTTTGTTCTCCTCAAACGCACACGGAGGGCCCCCGGAGGAGCGCCGCGGAGTCATTGGCTGCCTCCCATCATATGCCAGTCTAGACACTTTGGCGGCTCCGCGGCGCTGATTGTTGCGCAAACAAGGTTTCAAGTTTCTTAACTCTTAAAGGAGAACACGTCCCTTGGCCGGGCCCGTGGCTCCGAAGGGGGCTGGCTCCCGGGGCGGGCCGCGGCCGGACCCACGCCCCAAGCCCGCCCCAGCACCCCCCCTCCCCGCCTTTTCCCCCCCCTCCAGCCCTCGGCCTGACAGCGCCCGCAGCTCAACTCTGGCTCACGTTGCGCCTCGGGCACGGATGCGAGCGTAGCCGTCTCTCTCTCACGCACACACACAGGGCTGCACAAACCACACTCGGACACGACTGCCCCCCGACACTCGAGGTTGCTTTTGCCTTTCCCGGGCTCGATCACAAACTTGCAAATACTTTAGGGTCAGCCCAACCCCCCCCCCCCATCCTGGTCCAAGCTAGTAAAAACTGGGTGTGCGTGAGAGCCTTCCTGCCCTGCGTCTCTGGGGATCGGGGGGGGGGGGGCTGATAGGTTTGGAGATCCTCTGCGGCCGCACAAAGACTCTAGCCCACCCCCACCCCCATCCTGAGCGGAATTGGGGGCCGCCCTGCTGGGCCGAACGTTGGGTACGGGGTGCTTCTTGCAGTGGGGGGGGGGGGATCCTCCAGGTTCGCCCGAGATGAGGGTGGGGTAGATGCGGGGAGTGTCTCCCCGAAAGCTCCCTGGGGTCGTGCAAGATTGCGCAGAGGTTGGGGGGGATGGCGGGGAGAGTCAACGCTGAGTGCTTCCTCCAATTTACTCTGATCCTCCCAGAGGGGTGTGAGTAAGGGGATCGTGCTCCCCCGAGCAAGGTTTCGCCACGAAAATGGAAGTGAGTTGGGGAGGGTGAGGTTGGGGGGGGTGAGGTCGGGGGCGCGGAGGCGGCCGCCCGACGCCCGGCGGGGGAAGGGTTAAGGCCGCTCCTGCCCTGGAGCCGGCGCGGCGGGGTACCTCCTCGGGCGCGCTCGCTCGTCCGAGGGTGGCAAAAGTTCAAGCTTGTAAAGTCGGGATTGGTCCCGCGCGGAGGGGAGGGGGGGTGGAAAGAGGCCTGGCTCCCCCTCCCCCTCCCGGGCGTGGCGCCGATTGGCCGGGCCGCGGAGTCCGCCCCGCCCTCCCCCGGCGTGCGGCGGCTCCACCCTCGGCGCGGCGCCCCGCCCCTTTCCGGGCAGGAGTCGGGCCCCAAGCTGAATGAAAGACATTCCGCTACTCTCATTGGCCCCGGGGCTGGGCGCCATTCCCCGCGGGCGGTGGGGCGCCGGGCGCACCGTCTACCTCCGGGTTGCTCACGTTTGGGGTTGGCGGCTGGAGGGTTGGACGGTGCAAACCCAGGCCCCGGCCTGGGTGTGCGCTGGGGGCGGGGGGGGAGGGGGGTGCGGAGGGGGGGGAGGGGAACTTCTGCCGCCAGGACTCAGCACCTTGGCCGAGCCTCACCTGAAGCCAGGTAAGTGGCAGGACGTGCTGCGTTCTCTGGGGAGACGCGATTGATCGCGACCTCACACCCATGCCCTACTGAGACCAAAATGTAATCAATGCCCTGACCTCATTTTTTTTTTCACTATGAAGATGTGGCTGATGATGACTGCCCTGTGTGCTTCCTAGAATCATGAAGATTCTAGGGTATAATGCTTTGTAACCTGCACAAATCCAAGTGAACAGAAAGCACCCCCCCCCCCAAGAAAAGCCTCTTGTGACTGATGCCTGTGGCTCACGCCTGTAATTCTAGCTACTCAGGAGGCTGAGATCTGACCATCAAAGTTTGAAAGCCAGCCCAGACAGGGAAGTCCATGAGATTCTTATTTCTAATTATCCACCAATAAAGCTGGAAGTGGATTTGTGGCCCGAGTGGTGTAGAGCACCAGCCTTGAGAATAAAAAGCTAAGGGACAGCCCTACAGCCCTAGTTAGTTCAAGGCCCTAGATACGGGTACACACACACACACACACACACACACACACAGTGTGACCTGAGGGACCCATTTGACCCTGCAGAAAAACCCGGGAGACAGGCCTTAACTCCCCATGACAGACAGCACTTGGGAGATGAGTGGGGCACTGAGGCACAAAGCTTTGTGCACAGGAACTTATGCAAACCTGTGGTGGAAGACGGTACTTGTGGAAAGAAAACCAGAGGCAAGTTCTCCCCAAGGGCAGGGATGGCTGCCACAGATATGCAGCCCAGACACGGGGGCAAACGTGTGAGCTGTAGCTGTTTAGTTCTTACTTTCACCCACAACCCTTCCCCCCAGTTACAGTGACAACCCTTTCTTCAGGGTCAGATTTCCCCAAGATGTAGTGGGCCTGTACTCCCCAGAAGCAGTGCTTGCTGGGTGGGCTACTCTTCCTTTCTTGCTCTGTCCCCACACTAACCTGGGCAAAATTAGCCTCAGTTATTGCTGACTGGGAAACATGACAGTGGGGATAGGGTGGGAAGCTAAGAAAGGGAATCCCTGAACGGTATGGAATCCCCAGTTCAGTAATGATCCTGCCTATTCTCCTATTTCAGACTCTAGCTTGTGAAAGGGGCATGGGAGGTGGCTGCCTGAATTAAGTGGTGAGAGAATCAGGCACCATTTGCCCACGCTTGTAATACTAGCTATTCAGTTGGCTGAGATCTGAGGATCACAGTTCAAAGCCAGTTTGGGCAGGATAGTCTATGAGTATCTGTGAGGCCAGCAAAAAAAAAAAAAAAAGCCAGAAATGGAGCTGTGGTTCAAGTGGTAGAGTGCTAGCCTTGAGTAAAAAAGCTAAGGGACCGTGCCCACGCCCTGAGTTCATTAAAGCCCTGGTACCAACACAAATGATAGTCATTTAAAGCTGCATCCACGTACACAGTGTTAGGAAAGGAAATATAATAATAGTCATCATCGTCTTTGGCTTCCCAGGATCTGTACAGCCTAGTACCTGGCCTGCACTGTGGCCACTAGAGGGGGTGTGTGTAGGGCCCAGCAGAGCAGTGCCACTGAGCCACAGCCTAACACCTACTCTCCCAGATGGCCATTCCAGAGAAGGGGCTCCTATTGTCTGAGAGAGAAGAAAGGAGGAAGGAGATCTCAGCTGTTCATCCTTAACAAGAAGGCTGACCCTTCCCACTCATATCTGCCCCACTTCCATCCCTCTGTATCCCCTTAAAGGGCACTGATCACAACTCACGATTTCTAATCTGTGTGTGTGTGTGTGTGTGTGTGTGTGTGTGTACATGCACATGCATGCATGTGTACCAGTACTGGAAATTGAACTCAGGAGCTCTTGCACTTGCTTAACTTTTAGGCTCAAGGCCACACCTCTACTTCCAGCTTCTTGCTGTTATATTGGAAATAAGAGTGTCTCAGTTTTATCTGCCTAGGCTGGCTTCAAACCTCCATTTTCAGATCTCAGCTTCCTGAGTAGATAGGATGACAGGGGTAAGCCACTGGCGCTCAGCCCAATTTCTTCTCTGTTCTCTTTTTTCTACCTAAAGATCCCACAAAGGAAGAGACCGTGATCCTGACAGGCCAGGCCACCCCAGCAGCCCCACACAGAGTCACAAACAGGGTATTTAATGCCCTCGCTCTGTGCTACCACAGACAAAACCACAGAATACCTTACTTCTTGCCCCTAGACAACACCTGCCATATAAAGGCACTCAGTGAGTATTTGTGGGGTAGCTAGGTTCCCCACTCAACATTACAAGCATTATTTCTTGCTATCCTTCCAACCACACAGTGTAGATCTCATTCTCCCCTTTAAAAGGAAGCCACATAGAAGTTAAGTAATGTTTCTAGTCATAAAAACCAGTAGGTGGCAGAGTTGAGACTTGAGCCCAGAACTGAAGCATGCGCGTGTGTGTGTGTGTGTGTGTGTGTGTGTGTGTGTGTGTGTGTGTACACACTAAGACTTGAACTCAAGGCCTAAGTCTTCTCCCTTAGTTGTTTTACTCCAGGCTAGCACTATACCACTTGAGCCACAGCTCCATTCCAGATGGTTGATTGGAGATAAGTGTTTCATACACTTTCCTGCCAAGACTGGCTCCAAACCTCAATCCTCAGATCTCCTAGCCTCCTGAGTAGTTAGGATTACAGGCATGACCTAAGGGCACCTGATATTTTAACATATGGTTCTAGAAAAAAAAAAAAAAAACATCCTTGGCCCTTGGGAAGTTTCCACACTAGCTGGGAAGGTATGAGTCATGAAACAATAAAGATTCTACAAGGGAGAGCCACCTCTGGATCTAGGGGAGGACCTAGAGGCTACCTGTCCTCCTTGTTAAATAAGTCATTGACACCTTTCAGGTCTTCTGGTCTCCTATCCACTCCTTACTTCCTACTTCCAAATGTCTGCCAAATGACTGACTGCAAGAGAAAATGGCTCAGGCAAAGGCCATACAGTAGGGCTGGGAGTATGGCTTAGTGGCAGAGTGCTTGCCTAGCATGCATGAAGCCCTGGGTTTGATTCCTCAGTACCATATACACAGAAAAAGTGGTGCTGTGGCTCAAGTAATAGAGTGCTAGCCTTCAGCAAAAGAAGCATAGGGACAGTGCCAAGGCCCTGAGTTCAAGTCCCAGGACTGGCAAAAAAATAAAAACAAAGCCTATAGGTAGAAGAGGAAGACAAGAACACCAAGCTTTAATCCACAGGCCCCACTAGGGAATCTGGGCTTTTTGAAAAGGCAGTTTTTAAGCACCTATTACATTAAGTATATAGAGACTAGCTTAGCACCAGTGACTCACATCTGTAATCCTAGCTATTCAGGAGACTGAGATCTGAGGATCGTGGTTCAAAGTCAG